GTTTCATGACATGGTTTTATCACTAGTTGTAAGAAGGCCAATCAGTACCAAGTTTCACTTGCTGAGAAATCCTGTTAATCCAAGTGGCACCATTCTCATTAATAACAGATTTAGGGATTAGTGTTAAGGAGTTGGATCCTCCATATAATTAAAATGACATTTCTGACATATTTTTACCCAAATAATTTAAAAAATAAGTTAACAACATGAAATATCACTGAAATTAGTTGTTGAACAGGGGTTTCCTTGCGAAATAAGAAAACCATAGTACACTGTTTACCGCAAACATTTAAAGTCATGTAGGTAAGAGTTACAGCCCTTTGATATGACATATCCTGTTGTGCAGTCACTTAGGTGGGAAATGGCAAAATTCAAGTTTCTATTGAGTGCAAAGGGGCATAAACTCTGGAAATTCAGAAAGTGCGATAACTTTTATAATAGTTCTTTTTATCACAGTCATTGTAAGATCAAAAGAAAATTCTGTAAAGCAACTTAAAAATGAAGTGCCTTATGGAACCATAGGTTAGTTTTTGTTTGTTTGGTTTGTTGTTTGTTTTGTTGTTTGTTTGTTGTTTAACGCCGCACTCAGCACTATTCCAGCTATATGACGGCAGTCTGTAAATTATTGAGTCTGTACCAGACAATCCAGTGACACAAAAAGCACATTATATATAGTTAATAGGGTCAGAAGTACTGAAGCTCACCTATTATGGGTTCTATTTCAACAGAAAATAATCAATATTTATCAAGCATAGTCGCCTCTTACGGCAAGCATGGGTTGCTGAAGACCTATTCTACCCCGGATCTTCACACTGTGAGTTGATATGTTGGCTTATCAGGCACATAGGCTGTGAGTTCATTTCCCACGAATGGTGTAAAAGTCACTCTTGGTGTTGTCCCACCACCTATTATTTTAAAGCTGTGTGACGTTCACGTTTGTTCAAAAGAAAATGTATATATAAAGTTTTTCAGTGTAGTGTGCAGTGAGTATACATGCAAGTATAATTGTGGTTTTACATTATATCTTTGAGTGGCATGATTGTCATACATTCAACTCAGAAGTTGGTACTTAAACTGCTTATCAAAATGACAAGGTATGGACATAATGAGCTTTTGGGGCATTACGAAGACTGTCACTTGCTTACCCCTAATTTATTTTCATGTAGTCTGAATGCTGATGAGTTGCTTGCGTCATGGGACACTTTGGGACCAAGCATTTGATATTCAGGGAGTATCAACTTTCAGAATATCAAATGGTCAGTCTCTTAAGCCAAACCGTTCTTGTAGATTAAACTGGAACTTCTTCAATGTAATGTCAAAGTAGATACAATTTATGGATAACTACTTCTTTAATCCTGTAAAGGGGACGTTTCAGTATAGATCCTTATACCGTTGTCAAGCAAGACTTGAACAAGTAACAGTTTTATTTTGCAGGTATATCTTTTTATTAATAATAATTGGATGGGCAAATAAGACTTGATGATTAGTTTCATATGTTTATGCTAGGCTTTGGATCCACAATCCTAAGAAACAAGACAATGTGGGACAAGTTATCCAAGCTGCAGGAGTTACCAAAGAAAAAGAGAGTTTATAATAAGGATTGTGTAAGCATCTATTTTGGTTTTTGAATTGTTAATGTATCTTGGTGTGGCAAACAATTTTCTGGTCATTTAATGAAATATTTATGTCCGAATCTACAGCCTGTTCTGTACACATAAGGGTGTGGGTGGTTTCTGTTGTATTTGAATTTAGCCACCTCTGAAAAATTTATTTATTCTACATTATTCGAACACAGTAATTTCTGTCATATCCTTGATGTGAGGAACATTAGGCTTGTAAGGTCCTTTTTGTGTCCATGGAAATTAATGAATGCACAGTAACTGGCATTCAGGAGGGGCTGGTAATGTTAGCTTGCAAGTTGTCTGTTGTCTGTGTGGGCATCAGCATTGGTATCAGCCATTAATGTTTTACTTTTTTTACTTTTACTAAAAAATCCTTTACTTTTAACCAAAAAAATAGCTGATGGACTCAACTTAAGTTTTGTGTGGATTTTACTATAAGCGGGTTCAAGTTTGTTCAAGGAATTGGCATTGGAAGTTAAATATACCTTCGAGGTAGCCATCTTTGATTTAAAGAATCTTAACTTCTTAAGAGTCAGTTAGTATGGTTTAACGCCGCTTTTAGCAATATTCCAGCAATAGAAATGGGCTTCACACGTTGTAATCATGTCACGAATTGAACCCGGGTCTTCCGCTTGACGAGCGAACACCTTAACCACGAGGCTACACAACCACCGAATTAACTTAAAATTTCTTATGCTGAAAGTTGGTGGTTGAGATTGTCATTTGTGGTTCCAAATTGGTTTGAGGCATCTTGATTTGGAAAACACAGAAAGTCATGCGTCATTCATCTTAAACAGCTTTTCCTGAAACCACTGGACCAATGAAGCTGAGGTTGTTTCCACCTATAATGGCACCAAAACTTGTTGAAGAGGGCCCAATCTGATTTTCAATATAGCCACCACAATAGCCATATGTTGAAAAGTCTGTTTATGGCCATTTCTCGTTTTTTTTTGTTCCAAATGTAATGGAACTTTATTCATGTGTAGATAGTAGTGGGACTCAACATAATTGTTCCGTTTTGGGGATATTTTAAATTTTGACCTTGATTTGACCTTTGCATTTTGACCAACTGAAAGCTGAAAGTTCTCAAGGCAGTTACTCAGCCATTTTTGTTCAAAATGTTAGAAAATTTGGTATATGTGTAGTTAGTAGTATGGATCAATGCAGGTGTTCTGTTTTTCCCCATTTTGAATCCTATCCTATCCTATTCTGACTGATTATGTTCTCTCAAACTGCATTCTTGGCATTGTAAACATCATCTTCTCAGAAACCACTGGACCAATCAAGCTGAGGCCTCACATGTTTGTTTCAACAAATGATGACACCTGATTTTGTTCCAGAAGTTTGAATCCGATTTTCAATAAGGTGGCCTTATTGAAAAACCTATTTATTGCCCAAATGTAATGAAATTTAGTACATGTGAAGTTAGTTCTGGGACTCTACTTACATGTTTGATGTGTGTTTTAGCTTGTAATTGCCCTAGGTTTGACCATACTCTTAAAATTCTCTCAAAATGCATATTTGGCTCAGAGGGAAGTGAACTTCACCTCATATCTTTCTCATTATGATGACATTATGTTTTGTTCAAATCATTAGAGTTCAGTATTTATACAGAAAATATTTCAATATCAAAGCAGACTTTTATTATGTGTCTGTCTGTTGACATGTTAAACTGTTGACTAAATACTCAAGTGAGCTTCAATGCCATGGCTCTATCATGTCTATTTGTTATGTGACAGGCCTTCAGTGTCCACAATATAATTTTTGTCAATACCTCTTTCAACTTTTTACAAAAAAGATACATCTGGTGACAGCTGTTCTGATTCAGTGACTTCAATATATAACTTACATATGTTGCACCAGTGATCGAAACTAACTGTTTCGATCCACTTTACCTTATTAAGATTACATAAAGCAAAACCCCTAAAAAGGGCAAATTTCTACTAGTCCTTATGATACCTTAACTATTAGGCAGTTTGGCAAGGACTACAGGACTAGTGCCATTTTCTAATGCTGGTCACATGGTAACTTTAGCAGAGGGAAATACTTGGTAGATCTGTAGATCAGTGCTTGTTAAAACTTTAAGAAGTCTTTGATAAAAGGGCAGGACCTCTCTCTCTCTTTTTTAGCCGTGTCTTGACCTGCCCAAGTGAAAGGAAAATTAAGAAAAGGTTTGCCCTGTAATTGTTTAGCCTCAGTCTTTGTTTGAGACTTGCTTGTATCTTTTCACTGCAGCCTATATTTTCTCCCTGCTCATTGCCGAGGAGTAAGGTTTGGTGATTTTGTGGAATTATTTCTTCCATATGGGTTGAAACATCAATGGGATGGCTTGTTCATTTGCATTTCAAGTTATTTATTAGAAATAAGTTGGCTAAACATGACCACCATGTGGCAATTGAAGTCATTCAATGATGTTCTGCAATCTTTGAACAAAAATGAAGGTAATGAAGCCGACTGGCCATATGAAGCCAAGCATTATGAATTGTTTGATAGGCATTTCTTAGAAATTGACTGGTGACAAAGTAGACAAAGGTTTATGGATAACATCTTCCTCATTATACTGTTATAGCAACGTTACAGTATAGATCCTTATACTGTTGTCATGCAAGCATTATGAAGTGTCCCAGTAAGTAATGGAAAATATTAAGTTATCCTGTCTACAATGGTCTATGTGCCTTGTACATCTTTCTGTCTTGTAGCTTGTGTTTTGTCTGTAGTATAAGTAATACAATGTGTTAAGACCCACATTTGTTTATGCTATAGTATAATAATATTCACCCTTAGTCTCAGAAAATTTCTGAAAGTTATCTGTCTGTGACCTCAATATAAACCAATCTGATCAAGATGTACAACCAGTATTATTAAGTAATAAGTTAGGTATTTTGCTAAGGCATTTAACGGAGAAACCAGGTCTTAATACTAATAGAGCAACTTTTGTTTGAGGATAACAATGTATGCTCCAAACTATCACATGGGAAGCAGTTCTGTGCAACATTGAATCAACTCCGGCAATATTGTATCTGTATAGAAATGCTAAAAACCAGTGATGGTGGAACCCAATAATCAATAGGAGTAAATGAAGTAAACAAACGAACCCCCTTGCCCGTGTGGCCGTAATGAAATCTATATCGCCATATGATTACAGATCATGCTTGGGTCGTGCAGAGCAATCCCTCAGTCAACTGGTGTGCAGGCAAGCAGTCAGCGGGCTGGCATTCACACAAACTTGACCCACTACGACCATTCGCTATGCTCGCATAATGAGTTCTTACATGTGGCTACGACTGATATCACATGGTATGACGATAAGACTCGTAATGTCCAGGGATACTGGTCCTTTACTGGAGTTCAGCTTGTGAGATTTTAGTGTGTTTCCAGTGTGTTGTTGGGAGGCCTGTAGCCGGGATGTTCTACTGCTAACTTTTGTCACTGGTTTCTTTATTTAAAGGCACTCATGAGATGGATATCTGATTTCAAGGGAATACATGATTAACACTCTAGGTTGAGGAGGTTCAGGTCTCTGCAAGGTAGTTGCTTGGTTTTGAATTGTTGTAGTATATATCATGAAATAGTATTTTTGAAAATGTGATGTCTTCATTTGTTAGTTTTTAAGATTTTGCAAATCTGGTCTGCCATGTAGGTAATCCTGGAAAGCTGGGATGCAATAAGTTCTTTTTCTGATAATCCATGAACAAATTAGAAATCTCCATTTGTGTGTTTTATGATAGGGATTGTTTCACACTGACATGTGATTGGCTGACTTTTTTTCTCCATATGTGGTAACAACTGTCAGTTTTATGACACCTGGTAAAGTGTGTCAGTAAGGTAGGCATTGTAGAGGTTTATTTCCAATGTTAGTATTTCAGAATATTTAACCAGTTGATTGCAGAAGATTTTCTTAATGTGATCATGTTGTGGGAGATTCTACCTTGAGTGTATGTTACGTCTGTTATTAGGGCTAGGCTAGGATTTTTGCTGAATTATTTTAATCTTTCTGTCTTGATCATACTACACACAGCATTGATTATTTATTTGATCATGTTTATGTTTGGAATACTTTCAAGTTTAAAATTTAGTTATTTGTTTATGCAGTGTCTGTGTATTTGACTTGGCATGTTTATGACTGAGAGGTGTAGGTTTTCATAGCAGCTTGGAAAAATATTTTATGCTCAATTTTCAGTTATTTGAAAAAGATTGACTTGTTTTTGGTTTCAGTCTATAAGACTTTCCTGAACTTAACAATCTTGATCTTGCTGGTATCACTGCCGACATGCTTGAGATGCGGGTGGAGCTCGGTTACCGTGACAATAATTTTTTGAAACCAGCCCACTTTCCAACTGGTATTACACCACCTCCACTATTACATGCTTCATCTCTTGAACTGTTCTCACCCCCGGTGCTGTCCCCACCCCCCACAAAGCAGCCACGCCTAACTGCCCCGGGGGGTAGCTACCTGTCGCAGGGCTGTTGTCGAGAACCAGGTCTGATGATTCCACTTTATCATTGTAACCAAAGTGAGGCTTCAGCCGGGATGTTGAAAAACAATGACAGTGTAGTGACTGCTTTTGCAAGTTCGGCAAGGCGTTCAGTATCAGAGGAGCACCTGTTCTTTCGTGAAAAGTGTAACCGCACAAGTCACAGTAATGCATGGTGTCGCTCCAGTTCCTCCTTACAGGTGGGTGAATATTCTCTTTTATTTGTTTATGAAAAAGATCATTTGTTTCGCTCTACTGACTGTAGTCAGATTATCACATTTATCCTTGAAGTATATTGCCATGACAGTTGGTTCACCCTCGTGCTACTGTTGTACAATGCCGAGGGGAGTGGGTGCACCAGGCTCTGTGCTTCCTTTTTCATAACTATGTGTTGTGATGTCCGGTCATTTAACATGTTTAACTGTGAAATGGTTGACTGAAGCGCACAACCCACTTTGCCCATCATGTTCATCATTTGCATCCCAATTTGGAAACTAAGATGGATGTCTTATATTGATATGACACTCTAAGCACAAGGTCTCATGTGTGATTACAGCACATCTGATACAAAGAGAATACAGTTTTATAATTCCTCTCACAGTATGGTGAATATATGTTTTATATAATGTAGCCTTATAAATGAATATATATGTAGATATATTTCTATCCCAACTGATGTTGTCTATTTGGAATTTTGATTTGCTCCTGAAAACTGATTATAGATGAGAACCTTCCATGTCAGGAATATGAAGTTGGGGTTAAATGTGATATGTTCGTAAGATAAATAAAATACATCGTAGGATTTATGTCAGCCTGAAATCTGCCTGTTATGATATGTATCTTTTGAGTAGGCACCACAACAATGCAAAGTGTTTGTTTTATAAAACCAAATAAGAAGACAATTCAGAAAAAATCCCCCCTTTTACATATTTACAATACAGGCATAGATGTGATAAATTCAATCGTCTCTTAGTCACAGTCTCTAGTTGTCTTCAGGGCCAGTCTTGTGCACCTGTGTTGCCCTTTACTGTGGTCAAGCTGAGCATGAATGTTAAAGGGCTCCTAGTCATTGTGTAAAGTTGAAGATTTGGGTGTCCCTAGATTAAAATACTATGGTGGCAGAGAATTGTTTGTCTTCAACATTAGTCATAATTTCAAACACAGCTGAAGCTCATGCACGAAGTGCTATAATTGTCAGTATTCATCATCGGTCCTGGAAATGCACCAAGGACCAAACTTAAAGCGTCGTGTAGCCCTGCTTTTACAAACAAGGAGGCAGCGCAGGGTAGTATCGTGGTTAAACATGTTAAAGCGTTCACTTGTAATGCCAAAGACCAAGATTCGACCCACAGAATGGGTGCACTGTGTGAAACCCATTTTCTGTTCCCCTCCATGATGTTGGTGAATAATTTCAAAGCGGAATAAAAACATAAAAACACCAGAAAATGTTCGGCATCTTGTTCAAGATGTTTGAAAAATAGTTTCAAAATGTACAGCTTTCATATACTGAAGACACCGATCTTCCCAAAAATTGGTGGAATTGATGACAAATTGTGAAATAGCGTGAATGCTCATCGCAAAGGGGTCATCAGTGTGAAGCGTGCAGGAAACATGGAAATGTGTTTCCTGCTTGAATACCAAATGTTCCAGAAACTAGGGGCAGATCCCGACTTGTGGTTGAATGGGGTTCAGACTAGAGGTAGACTTGGGGTTCAGACAAGAGGCAAACCCGGTGTTCAGACAAGTGGTACACATGGGGTTCAGACTAGAGGTAGACCTCGGGTTCAGACAAGTGGTACACATGGGGTTCAGACTAGAGGTAGACCCAGGGTTCAGACTGGAGGTAGATCCAGTGTTCAGATTAAAGGTAAACCCAGTGTTCAGACTAAAGGTAAACCCAGTGTTCAGACTAAAGGTAGACCCAGGGTTCAGACTGGAGGTAGACCCAGTGTTCAGACTGGAGGTAGACCCAGGGTTTAAACTAGAGGTAGACCCAGGGTTCAGACTAGATGTAGACCCAGGGTTCAAACTGGATGTAGACCCAGTGTTCAGACTGGAGGTAGACCCAGGATTCGGAATAGAGGTTGACCAAGAGTTCAGACTGGAGGTAGACCCAGTGTTCAGACTGGAGGTAGACCCAGGGTTCAGACTGGAGGTAGACCCAGGGTTCAGACTGGAGGTAGACCCAGGATTCAGACTGGAGGTAGACCCAGGGTTCAGACTAGATGTAGACCTAGTGTTCAGACTGGAGGTAGACCCAGGGTTCAGACTAGATGTAGACCTAGTGTTCAGACTTGAGGTAGACCCAGGGTTCAGACTAGAGGTAGACCCAGTGTTCAGACTGGAGGTAGACCCAGGATTCAGACTGGAGGTAGACCCAGGGTTCAGACTGGAGGTAGACCCAGGATACAGACTGGAGGTAGACCCAGGGTTCAGACTGGAGGTAGACCCAGGGTTCAGACTGGAGGTAGACCCAGGGTTCTGACTGGAGGTAGACCCAGTGTTCAGACTGGAGGTAGACTATGGGAGGGATTATGTCCTTGTCTTGAATGGGAAGAGGGTTGCATATTCCTTAGCATGTGTGTGTATCTTAGCGTCAATCTGTCTTTGTGTTTTCTGTATTGTTGTCAGGTCAGAGGGAGGTGTTTCAGCAATGAATCAAATGTCAAAGAGGAAGTCACATGGATAGACAAGACATTTACAAAGCATGTTGCACTTACGGCCACCATTACTGTCACATTATGCCCAGAGGTAGACATAAAACCCTTGGCATAAATTAATCACATGAGCTGACATACATTGCAAGGCCCTTATTTGCCTTGCAGAGTTCAATTGGGAAAAACTTTTTCAAACAAATATTAAAATAATCTTTATGAGATATTGTCATTGTGGCTCTCAGGGTGCAATTAACAATATATTGAATAAAAAGAATCATTTATGTGATTCTTGAGGGATGAAACCAATTTTCTTTTCCATAAGTAATTTGTCTAAAATATGACCATGATATTTAATCATATGTAGAATGAATGCCTCCCAAATCATGTGTGGGTGTGCCATTATATACTCTACGGACTCTCTTCAAAAACATGAAAGATAAGACTTCAGCCTTTTATTTTATCTATATTTTTATTATCTAATTATATGGGGGAAAAACAGTTTCTGTTATATGTGTTGTATGTTAACATGTTATTTTCACATTTAGGGGCGGTTGGGTAGCCTAGTGGTTAAAGCGTTCGGTCGCCACGCTGAAGACCCGGGTTCGATTCCCGACATGGGTACAATGTGTGAAGCCCATTTCTGGTGTCCCCCGCAGTGATATTGCTGGAATATTGCTAAAAGCGGCGTAAAACCATACTCACTCACTTACTATTTTCACATTTAAAAGGGACCTGTGAAGAACCTGGGTAGAAGGGTCTTCAGCAACCCATGCTTGCCGTAAAAGACAACAATTTTTGTCGTAAGAGGCGACTAACGGGATCGGGTGGTCAGGCTCGCTGACTTGGTTGATCGTTGATACGTCATGGTAACCCAATTGCACGGATTGATGCTCATGATGTTAATCACTGGATTGACACATAGCTGGAATATTGCTGAGTACAGTGTTAAACAACAAACAAACACATTTAAATACAAATGTCTTCAGTTGAAACAAGTGTTGTTTCAGTTCTGTAATGGACAGTGAAGACTAGATGGTGTTTACATATGTATGTAGGAACAAAATATTGGCTCAAACTAGTAGTGACTATTTGACAAGCAAAATTTAAAAAATGGGAGTTGCATTAAAAATATTTAATGGTACATGCTTAATAACTACATTGAGTAGGTCCAGATTAGAATTCTTGGTTAGAATTTGTCATCGTTAGAGGAGACTAGATTGTTTGCCGTGGTCAGGCTTGGAAATGTGCTTGTTCTGCATGTCATCATACTCTGCCGGTGCAAGACGCTGGTCATTACACCAGTCTCTGGTTTGATAGGCAGCGACTCGATTAATTACAGGACGCTGGGTTTAGTGGGAATTTGACTGCGTAGAAATACAAACAAACAAAAAACATCAGCTGATGAAAGCATTCATAAAATGTTTTCTAGGATGCTCATCAAAGACTAGTTTATACACGTCATTGAAACAGGTCAGCTGCGACATACTTTATTATTACCGTGTATCAAAATAATACAACCTGTTGATTAGAAATCTGTGTTAACCAACTTGTACCTTGTGGGCCACAAACGTGATGCACCTAGCCTTAACGCGAAAACGCGAAAAAGCGAAAAACGCAAAACCACGGGCCAAGGCTTGCTCCCCTCTTGTCTTAAACGATTCGTCCAACCTCTGCACGTTACACGTTTTGGGTCCTTATGAGAATAACAACCAGTGAAAACAATGGTCATAATGCTCCCTAGTTGTATAATTTATAGATAACTCCTTGAAATTTTGTTTTTCAAACATTTATTATACATTGGCGCTTACGAGAACTGTTCTTCGTATGTCACTAATATTAAGTCAGCTTGTGAGTTGACGCAACAAAGTTCCATGGATAGCCTTCTGCAGGTTGTATGTTCAACATGTAACCGTCATGATTCATCAATCGTTGTCAGCTGCACTGAGGGTTGAGTTGACAGGTCTATGTGTCATGTGAGGCCTGAAGACGTTAGGTTGTTGACATGGCAATATTATTTGTCATATGTTGTGTATTTGTGGAACTGTTACAGTCATAATTTGTAAACCTGTCACCCAGGTAAGCATCTGTCAAGGATGAGATACAGAGAAATGTTAGGGTGACGAAACTTCAAAGGGAGTAGAGATTCTCCAGTTCAAATCACTCAGTACATACAAATTGTCACTTGGCTAAGTAGAATGACATGGTTTAATCAGAGAAAGTTCAGTAAGTTTAGTCCAATTCATTCAGACCACAATTGACATTATTGTCTGATATAGGTGGTAAAAGGAACACCAGGGTTCATAACGGTGGCATGTATTTAATCATACATGACTTCCCCATGTCATATTGGTTTGTTGTTATTCATGTGTAGTCACAATGATCAATGGGATGTTTGAATTACAAGAATACATCGCACAAGGGAGTTGAATGAATGTAAATATTAAGTTGAGATGAGTTTTGGATGGGCCCCTGATGCAAGTTTCGACTATGAAAATTGATACACTTAACTTTTCATATATAGTTTAAGTTTAGTTTTGACCATCCAAGAAATTGAACTCCTCAATCGAGCGGACGTTAAACCTATAATAACTGATTTGACCTCTCAAATTTAAAAAAAAAAAATACATTTATTTTAAAAATGTTAAACATATATACCGTTTTTTAACTTTTGTAAAGTTATTGTTAAGATAATAATGCCCCCGTGATATTGCTGGAATATTGCTAAAAGCGGCATAAAACCATACTCACTCACTCAGATAATAATCACCGGACAAAAAAATTGGTTGAAAGCTATCTGATCAGATCTGCAAATTAAAATGTATGTCTTTTAATAAGATCACTTCAGGGGTATTAATGTGGACATATGTCAGTCAGCAAGGTATGTGGCACCTTTCTCCACAAACCTTTCTCAATATTTGATTTCTTCTTGTAAACTACATGCCAGGATTTCCTGGCTCTGATACCGCTGGAATAACACAAAAACGGTAAAAACCCATTCTCTCATTCAAACTTACTAAGTGGCACACATGAAGATTTGGGTTAGAATTGGTCTTCAGCAAGCCATGCTGGTCATATCGAGAGGTCAAGCTCGTTTTTTTTTATTGAACCGTATCAACATACACCTATTGCGTAGATGGATGCTCATGTTGTCAATCAGTGGATTGTCTGGTTCCAGGCTTGTTTATTTACAGACAGCCATCATATAGTTGGAATATTGCTGAGTGCAGCGTTAAACAAACGACAAACATTTATTTTTTTACACCAGGTGAGCTACAGAGCCAAAGGCTTAAACTGTCTGCAAATTTAGCTCTAGTCTGAAGCCAGAGTCTAGTATATGTCCTGTTCGGTATAATAAGCTCAGCTAATAATGGTCCACAATAACACTAAATTCTACTAAAAATAAAAACTCAAGATCTTTTTCCATACATTGTACTGAAGGATATGGCACTGGTGGACGTTGCCCTGAATAATTTGTTCATTGTCATACATATACATTCTGTAGGCACATAAAAGTGATCTTATACATTTCAGCCTGAGGCATATGAAGTATTATTAAACCCGGACATGTTGGTTAAAAATTGTATTTATGTTGATGTAAACTGAAATGCTTTTGAAATGAAAATATTGAGAGTTACTGATAATGAAGAATCTGCATATGTCAGAACGCTGATGCATTGTGGTCTTGGCTCAGCTTCCATCAACGGTCATGTGACTTGTGTCATTGTTGTCTTCCACATATGACCACCTTTTGCAACGGGGATGCAGATAGCCCAATCATATGAGCCACCGCTATTTGCTGTACAGTTTTACCTTCTTGGGCATGTCAGTGAAAGAAAAACCCACACAACTCACATTAATAACATCATCATTCACTGTTATCATGAAGTGCAACTGCAAGGGAACTGAAAGCACTTAGTTGAAGATTTCATCAGATGTCATGTAGATTTCAGATATGGGGTTAGTTGCAGCCATGTTGAAAACATGATTTTTTGTCTTTTTCCCAATGGTCTGTTTGGGAATCTGCACTGGAATGCTTGTGCGATTTTATATTGCATATTGCAGTGTATCGAGATTATCAAGTGAGCTACAGACGCTTGACCCCCCGATTCTGGCGCCATCTGAGACTGGCCTGAGACTTAACATGATCAATAATGGACATGCTAGAACATCTGAATTAACAGTACTTTGACCTGGGGAAATGTATTGACAACTTTTGGGGTCTCTTGGCCCCTCAAATATAGGGAAGAAACACAAACTCCTGATATGGAATGACATTATTAATAACATCTTCAGTGGAATTGATTTTGTAAGACATTCATGTCATGATTAATTGCCACTATTTCTATGTACCTTGATCTTTCAAATGTTTTGGCTTTCTCATATCATTTCAATTTTTGTGGTAGCCATGTATAAGAGTATTTAACACCAACATTCTAAAGGCCTCATTAGGAAAGAAAATTTCTTAAATCACACCCACTCTATCAAACCCACCCCGACCCGCCCAGTCAACCAGTTTTTTAAGCTGTTCATAAGTTAATGATTGAATACTTTAAGCTGGTTTTCTTGATGCATTGCTTTACTGAGTAAATGTACATAACAAATGTCTTTCTTTTTTCCCCCTCTCAGTATTTAATCCTGAAATCATTTTGATGCAGTATGATTCATTGTCTCTTGACATTTTGTATATGTCTTACACTGCAAATCCTTTCTTTCATGTTCGGTTTGGTTCACTTCTCTCTTGGAACTAAACATAAAAGATATGAAGAATGCAAGGTTTTAATATTTCACACACGTACAAACTGAGATGACAGATAAGTCTCTATTGTTTAGAGCTCAGAAACATTCAGAGGAATGAAATATTAATTAGTTACATTTTTAGGCAGGTTGAACTTCAGTACGGTTGCTTGTGAGATAAAAAGCAAATGAGGCTAGGATAAATAGGTCTTACATTTTGGATGGTGGCCTGTGATAGGAGTTGAATTTAAAAACGTAATTCTAAATTGGTCTTTGATACAGTGTTGAAAAGATATTGTTAAACTGTTTAAACAGAAGTCACACTTGGTATAAGAAATTAAATTGAGAATTGAAGAATTTTCAAATTAAATTTGCTTCCAGAAAATTGTCAATATTGTTTGGGTGATCGGTTGCCATTCTGTTTTGATGGAAATGTAAGTTCTAGAGATGTAATGGTGATTATTGTTGACTGCTTCTAGGAACATGGCATGATGGAAGAAGAGGTGCACCAGGACGCAGCCATCAACCTGTCCACCGGACGAGATACTGTTCGAGACGTTGCAAGAGACGCTGCCACTGTTGGGGCAGCAATTCTCAATGGAGATGTCAGGAATGGTGACCTGCATCAGGAATCACTCCAGGTAACAGTTGCATCAATCACAATAGTGTGTGTTGGAAGGGTGGGTGTGTGTTGGAGGGTGAGTGTGCGTTGGTGGGGTGAGTGTGTGTTGGTGGGGTGAGTGTGTGTTGGTGGGGTGAGTGTGTGTTGGGAGGGTGAGTGTGTTGGAGGGTGGGTGTGTGTGTGTTGGTGGGGTGAGTGTGTTGGAGGGTGAGTGTGTGTTGGAAGGGTGGGTGTGTGTTGGTGAGTGTGTGTTGGTGGGGTGAGTGTGTGTTGGAGGGTGAGTGTGTGTTGGTGGGGTGAGTGTGTGTTGGAAGGGTGGGTGTGTGTTGGTGGGGTGAGTGTGTGTTGGAGGGTGAGTGTGTGTTGGTGGGGTGAGTGTGTGTTGGAGGGTGAGTGTGTGTTGGTGGGGTGAGTGTGTGTTGGAAGGGTGAGTGTGTGTTGGAAGGGTGAGTGTGTGTTGGAGGGTCAGTGTGTGTTGGTGGGGTGAGTGTGTGTTGGAAGGGTGAGTGTGTGTTGGAAGGGTGAGTGTGTGTTGGAAGGGTGGGTGTGTGTTGGTGGGGTGAGTGTGTGTTGGTGGGGTGAGTGTGTGTTGGAGGGGTGAGTGTGTGTTGGTGGGTGTGTGTGTGTTGGAGGGGTGAGTGTGTGTTGGTGGGTGTGTGTGTGTTGGTGGGGTGAGTGTGTGTTGGTGGGGTGAGTGTGTGTTGGTGGGGTAAGTGTGTGTTGGTGGGGTGAGTGTGTGTTGGTGGGGTGTGTGTGTGTTGGAGGGTGAGTGTGTGTTGGTGGGGTGAGTGTGTGTTGGAGGGTGAGTGTGTGTTGGTGGGGTGAGTGTGTGTTGGAGGGATGAGTGTGTGTTGGAGGGATGAGTGTGTGTTGGAGGGATGAGTGTGTGTTGGTGGGGTGTGTGTGTGTTGGAGGGGTGAGTGTGGTGGAGGGATGAGTGTGTGTTGAGAAGGGGAAGGTGTGTAACAGTGTGAGTATGTGTACACTGTTGCCATGGAAATATATATGTCATTCAAGCTTCATTGTCTGTGTTACTCCTGTTCCTACAGACATGGTTCTGAAGATCATTGTGCAGTGATACAGAGTTGAGTGTCATTCCATGTTAGTAACTGAAATGTACACGTGCGCTTTAGTGCATCCACTAATCACCTCCCTTGCTTTGATTTTTTGGAGCCTTTACTTCAGTGGTAATGCCATACATTTTAGTTTCTGGAAGTGAAAATAACAATGTTATGACATGATGGTTGGAGAAGGGGGCTAGGGGAAGGCTGACTTTGTTTTCTGGTTGTTGTTTACAGATGTTGCCGTGAATATATTAAAGGTCTGATTTCCGTCACTTGATACTGTGACATTAAACTAGTTCAGAATTCTTTTTATAGTCAGTTTTATTACCACCATGACATCTGGGGTTGAATTGGTCTTCAGCAATCCATGCTTCCATATAACTGGAATATGCTGAGTGTGGTGTTAGTCCGCAAACAAATATTTGTTGTGGTAACCTACTCCAGTCAGTCCCCATTAGCTTTTGTTTGTCATCGGGCCTACCACAGTGTGAATCAGGTTGCCAAGGCCTGTGTCATCGGGCCTACCACAGTGTGGATCATGTTGGCAAGGCCTGTGTCATCGGGCCTACCACAGTGTGGATCAGATTGGCAAGGCCTGTGTCATCGGCCCCTGACAGCAGGGCATGTTGATCATGCTGTCAACCACTTGTTGGCCTAGAGTACACAATCTACAGAACATCAAGATACGGCTGAAATGTTGCTGACTGCAGTGTTACATCAAACAAACAAACAAACAAAACAGGTCAGCTGTTAAATTTTGTTATGCCTCTATAATGAATCTTGGAATCCATACCACATGACTGTCACTGACCTCGAATATTGATTCGTCACATGATCAGTATTGACCTGTCACATGATGAATATTGACTCATCTGCTAGAAAACAAGATGGGTCTGGTACTACCATATCACTTTTGGTAGCTAAGTTACTGTAATGAAACGGGATGGTTTATAAACTTGAAAGTGAATTTTGGTGTAACAAAATGAATGATTATTCTTGACTAGGTAAATATGCGAAAACTATTACATGTGTAATGTAAGTGTTTGAAACTTACTTGTACATTTTGCCGTGCCAAAACCCTTTGAGCCAACTGTCCCGAACTTGTCTATTGGCAACATCTTCAATAGCTTTTAATGTTAATATGTGGGCTTTTATTATGTTAGTACCAGACTGATATTTTGCCGGACATGGTCTTCAGGCCAGTGGGTGATGTCACTGACTGTGCCATCAGATGTTGGACTCAAGTGTCGGGGATCAAAACATACTGAAATATCATTATAGGACCTTCATAGCTATTTATGCACAACAGTTTTATGTGTTAGTTTCGTCTGTTACAGTCTGTCGGCTGCTATTTTTTCAGGACATTTTCCAATCTGTATCTGGTTAAAAGTGCAGTCTTTATATTGCTTTTCTGTCAAGTAAAATTGAAAATCTGCGATTTTTGTGTGCCTCTTTATGTCATTAATTGCCATGTGATGAAGTAACGAACAAATATTAAACACAATTATTCAGAAAGTTTCAACTTGGTGATGTTATGGGTACTGGCATTTTCATGAATATCACATGATTGGGGGCTGCAGAGGGACTTTTTTCCTTGTGGATGGACAAAGTGTTTGTTTCATCATGTACTAGCGGTCTGCCTTGTGATCGATCGAATGCTTCGAGGGCTCGTGGCAAAATTTTGTTTCCCTTTTTGCCAAAGCAGTGTATGTTTGTTCTTTGAGTTCTCATTATCAGTGGCTTGGCACATGTTTACACAAGATCAGAGCGGCAAGACCCAGCGAACTCGGAACATCTCAATACACAAACTAGAGAAAGTAACAAGCTAGGTCCAGTGAGGTGGTGGTAGTTACATTCACGCAGTGGGCAACTGTAGCCACCTCCAGCAGGCTGTGGAGCTGTAAAACCAAATCGGGGGGGCCAAAGTCAACTCCTGGCTATTTACTAAGGAACACTGTGTAAACGCACTTTCTTCTGACTCAGCCTTCGTCAAAAGATGTCCATTCTGCAACTTGGACGATTTTTATATTTGTTGATAATCGAAGATGCTGACTTTTAGACATGTGGTGATATTTTCTTCATCAGGACATTGTTTTTGTGTTGGTGCAGCCGCCTCCTCCTCAGTGGGTAGGAATTTGTGTTTCTCCTATCGGTGGATACGAGCTGATAATCACTAGGAATGTGGTATCATGTTGTTCTATTGATTTGTATTGATGGTAATGAATGTTCCTCTTGTCTCCCTTGACCATGTGATACGAGATAATGAGGTCATATGATAATGTTACTATGTTATAAATGCCATAGTTGTCAGTACGCTGTGCTTGTTCCACAACATGTTTTGAAGGCTCTTGTGTTGTTTAAATGTAACAGTTGTTCTTTAGCCTTATTTTTCTTTACTTGTTTCCAGCTTTCATTAATTATTCACATTAAGGTATACATTTTCATTTCCTTTGTGTATATCTAAACCAGATGTAAGATGTTGTGTCATTAATAGTTTTTGTTTTTCCCATATTTGTGTTTATTCAGTGATAATTTATGCAGCAAAAAAGTAAATATTTTGCTCTGTGCATTGTAGAGTGGTGGTTAAGAATAATTATTATCAGCAAATCAACAACTTTCTTTTTGACAAAAGATGGAAATGATGCACTAAATTGAAAAACCCAATTTTCTCAGTTCTTATACTACGGTAATGTCTTTTTTTGGCGTTTATAATGTGCACCCCCTTCTATACAGCTGTGGGAAAAAAGTGTGCACTATACTCAAGAAAATATGGTAATCAGTTTTGGGGAAGTTTTATAAATTTGAGTTGATCGGACGTTTTGTATTTTCAATTATGGAAAATTGTAGTTGTTTGATGGTTGGGTCAGTGCGGTAGATGCATAGTAACAGTGTTAGCTCACCTTCACATCTTCAAAGGTTTGCTTCCTGATATGGGTGCAGTGTGTGAAGCCAATGCTAGTGGTCACAGCGATGGCATTGTGGGAATTATTGCTTAGTGTGGCGTTAACACTTCCCACTGTAATGTCAGATAAATCATCAGGAGTTATACCACAGCTGATAAACACAGCATGTGCTATGTGAGAACTCATTCTGTTTATGCCATGAGGGATTGAAAGCTATCTACATAAATTATGCTGTTTGAAAGGAAACAAGGTATTAAAATGTCAAATTGTATTGATTTGGAACTTTTTCATAATGTGGAATGTGAAAATATCAATATTAATCATTTGATTTTGTTTATAGTATCAGTATCAAAAAGTTGTTGTCGGTGATAGCTCCATCTTGCTTGGAGCAGGGAAACATGAAAGACCTATTTGTGAGTGTGGAAATGTTGTATTGTTAATAAGGCTTTAGAATTCAAAGATAGTGTAAATGTGATTTAATCTTCAAGTATGCCAGTCCAGAAGGTTGGTCTGTTGATCAGTTGTGTAGTTGTGAAATGTAAACATCCTGTGAGTATATGAGGCAATCTAGACGGGAATTTGTCAGGTGACTTCAAACCTGTAAACACGCTGGCTTTTGTTTACGGGTTTGAAATAGCTTTCCTAAACAGCTAAACAAGCGCATTTACGTGACCTGTTTACCTAGAGCCTTAACAGTTTGTAGATATCTATTGAATATAGTTTGATGTCATTCTTCATAACAACTCACTCTGGAAACAGGACTGTTTGGAAGTGATCAGATGGGGAGGAATGTCAGGGATTGAAATATACAGGAGCCATTGGCAGGAACCATTGTCAGAACTTGTATGGGGAGAGTGAGTCTGATGCTGAAGTTCTCAGAGAGTAGATGACATGAAGGTTTGGTAGAGACAGGAACCATTTTCAGAACTTGTATGAGGAGAGTGAGTCTGATGCTGAAGTTTTCAGAGAGTAGATGACATGGAGGTTTGGTAGAGACAGGAACAATTTTCAGAACTTGTATAAGGAGAGTGAGTCTGATGCTGAAGTTCTCAGAGAGGAGATGACATTGAGGTCTGGTAGACAGGAACAATTGTCAAAACCTGCATAGGAAGAGTGAGTCCGATGGAGAGCAGAACTATATACTTGTGATTCTGATAGTGGAGTGGGTTTGGTGGAGATTGGAACTATTATCAAAACTTAATTTATGTGGGTTTGATGGAAGTGGAACATTGACAGTAAGACTAAGAGACTGAAATAAGAGTCAGCAGCGAGATGTTTACAGGGTACAATTTCATTCTGTTTTACCACCTGCACCAGGTGCAACCAAGTGAATTATTAATCAGGTTGCGCCACCAAAATATTGGCTGCACCGTTTTGTCATAAATTGACACGCTGTATTTTCAGTTAGTTTGAATATTAAATAAATTCAAAGAGAAAATAAACTTTAAAATGTTCTCCAGTATTTTATTTTGGGAAAATCTGTATATGGCTTTTCACATCTTGATATCCAGTAAACAACCTTAACCAGAAGTTTGTTGTGATTGTAACCTCATGAGTGACTGTTCTAGAGGTAATTGTGAAGAATTAGTTCTGCAAGTTCACTGCATGCAGACCTGTGTATTTCACTATTTTCAAGAACCTTTCCTGGATGCTAAACGATTTGCTTCCAGTTCTACAAGAATTTAGTTTTCCATTTTTATCAAACCTAAATGCTGCTATGCACTTTGGGTAAGAAATGTTACCGGGCCTGGGTGCAATCTGACTATAAAAGTTACCTGCACAAACATAGTTTTACCTGCACTGGTGCAGCTTGGAAATAGCGAAATGGATCCAGGTTTAGCCATATCTCCTGTAAGAGTTAAAACATTTTTAAAAGGTGACAGGCATGACAAATGTACATGATGTGTATGCCCAGAATGCAATACAAGCAGAGGTCAACTTAGATAACAAGGGGAAGTTATGGTTACATTGACTTCAACAATCACAATTCCCATATGATTAATTTATTCCATATTACGTCAGTTTCTTAAGACAACATGCTTCACATTTTTCAAGAAGCGTTCACAAAATTACTTTATTTGTAAGGGAGATTGTAAGGGAGATAGGATGGCACTGAACTGTCTCCCCACTTTAGTGTCCACTTGGCGCTTTGTCAGACGTCCTCATGAAAACCTGACACTACACTAATAAGACAATTTCTATAACATGTTTCCAGATTTAGATGTTGAATTACATATTAATGAAGAAAAAGATTTTCAAGCACCCATTTGCATGTATGAAAGGCCTTTTTGATCCTACTTTGTTTCATGGTACAATTGATGAACTTTGATGCTTTAACTAGAAAAGAATTTGACATGTGATCCCTTCACAGCGCTTCACAGCCATGCTGTAGTCTGCAACTCAACCAACTGGTCTGTATTCTGAGTCTATCTTTGGTTGTTGGTTTATCAAACTCAACTGATAATAGTCCAAATATTAATATTAAAAATTACTGAAAGTTTTCCTGAGAAACATGTTTGGGCTAGCAGATTAAGTAATGTGGGCACAGAGCACCATGTCTTCTTGTATACGGTCCCTGCCTCTTGTTGCCTTGACTACTGGGGTAACATACAATCTATGATATTGTTTTTTACGCAGTACATTTCTCTGCTCGAAATATATTTTTTTCCTGTAGCTCATTTGGAATAGAGCTGGCTAGACATGTCATTTCATGTTTTAGATATGTTTTTTTGTTTCATAAAATACCTACTGTATATTCCACATTGATGGTGCAGAGGTGGGTCTTGGCTTCGTAATCTTCCTCAATGTTTGAAGATGAGGCAGGTGCCTTACTTTTTTTATATGTTTTGCTAGAATATCTTAATACAACCCATCCTGAATCTTTTATTTTTGACATTATGGTTAGGCGAGGACTTGGATTTTGATTGTTAGTTCTATATTTCTGGTTATCTCCCCCTTTACCGAGCAGTGATAAAAACACACTGTTTTAGACCACTCGTCCTTATGATGAGAACAGCAAAACCCATAATAATGGGTGATGACACCAGGTGTTAAATGTCTAAATGCATCACTTGGAGCTGTGCTCCAACATCAGGCTGACATGTGATATTGGTGAAATTCTTTTCTTTTATCAACACATAGGTGATTCCAGGTTAAGGGGCTTAAGAATTAGGAGATAAACATAGTGTGTTTTCAATGTAGAGCTAGGTTGTCATGTAGATGTAACCGCAATAATTCGAATTTGGAACCCAACGTGCAGCATGAGGTTTCAAATGTTATCATGGCTCACAACATCAATCACTTTTTTGGTCTGGACTCAATTGTCCGGCCACTGTCATTATTAAGCTGGAATATTGCCACATGTTTCATTAAGCCACAAACAAATAAATTAATTGCAGGTGATTACATGGCATTTGATTGGCTAACCAAGCCATATTTTCTGTGTTAATGGTTCCATAAATTGAAAATTATTAGGCCGATCCCGCTGATTGGCTGATAATTTAATGGGCGGGCTTGTGTTGCATTTTTGCGCTGAGCGTTGTTTCCTGATTTCATATCATTGCCCAAAGTTACTGATTGTTTTGTGTGTTGATGATTAAGTAGCACTCTGATAAGTTATTGTTGACATGTTTATTTATAAGAATTGACTTAAAACTGGAGTGCAGTTTGCATAAATCTGCTACACTACGCCGATTTACACAGTTTGCACACCTCTTTTATGCTTATACTTCCATGAACGCAAAAACATATTGAAGTCAATTTTTAAACAAATCTAAATAAAAACTTTCATCCAAATGTTAAACAGAGTATTCTCCCCTTTCAGATCTCAGCCTCCCCTCAGGCTCCGCTTCCTGGGAAGAACTCTTCCAGCTTAGTGGGAGCTGCTAAACGGAAGTTGAAGTCGGCATCTGACACTTCTCCGCAGCTCGCCAATCTATCCCAGCAGCCCTTGCTAATGATGGCTGCACAGCACGGCCTCTCCCCGCAGCAGGTGCAGCAGCTACTGCAACAGCAAGGAGTTTCCCCACAGCAGCTGCAGCAGATGATGCAACAACAGCAGACACTGATGTTACAACATCAGGTACAGTAAAACATTTTTGCTATGACAACCACCTCCCATCAACCTGCTGTCATCGACCCTGACAGTGTCGGGAAAATTGCTGATGCGGCGTAAAGCAATATTTTTAATTCATTCCAAACTCCATTATTTACGCAGTCAGTTGGCTCTAATATGGCTGAGTGCTGCAAACAAATAAACAAACAAACAAACAAACCTTCAATCTATCTTGTTGGGTACACTCAAGTTGATAGCTTTCAGTAATTAACTTCAGGTTTCCCAACATTTCAGAAGTAACACATATATACTCTCATCAATGACCAATGTGACCCAGCCAAGTTGTTTTAAGACGAGATTAGATTATGAAGTGAACTGACGTAGCTCAAATGATTGTGTGTGACCTTGCCTTGATGGATGTTCCTTGCCCTTCCAGCAGCAGCAGCAGAAGCTTCACGAGCAGGTGCTCCATCAGCTTAACGAGCAGCTCCAGCTGAATGTCCTCCAGCAGTCTCAGCTTATCCAGCAGCAACAGCAAGATAAGCAGAAGAGCGGGAAGCATGCACAGCAGCAGTTGCAGCAACTGGCCATCCAGCAGCAGCAGTTGATTCAGCAGATCCAGCAGATACAGCTCCAGCAACGGCAGTACCTCCTGGCCTGTCTCGTCCAGCCCTTCAGTGGGATGCCACAAGGTAGGTTCACAACTTGTCTCACACGACACCTCATGGCCTGTCTCACTCGACTTCTCCTCCTGTCTCACCCGACCTATACTCCTGTCTCACTCGACATCTCCTCCTGTCTCACCCGACATCTCCTCCTGTCTCACCTGACATATCAACTTGTCTCACCTGACATCTCCTGTCTCACCCGACATCTCCTCCTGTCTCACCCGACCTATACTCCTGTCTCACTCGACATCTCCTCCTGTCCCACCCGACCTATACTCCTGTCTCACTCGACATCTCCTCCTGTCTCACCCGACCTATACTCCTGTCTCACTCGACATCTCCTCCTGTCTCACCAGACCTATACTCCTGTCTCACTCGACATCTCCTCCTGTCTCACCCGACCTATACTCCTGTCTCACTCGACATCTCCTCCTGTCTCACCCGACCTATACTCCTGTCTCACTCGACATCTTCTCCTGTCTCACCAGACCTATACTCCTGTCTCACTCGACATCTCCTCCTGTCTCACTAGACATCTCCTCCTGTCTCACTCGACCTATACTCCTGTCTCACTCGACATCTCATCTTGTCTCACCCGACCTATACTCCTGTCTCACTCGACAACTTCTCCTGTCTCACTCGACCTATACTCCTGTCTCACTCGACATCTCATCTTGTCTCACCCAACCTATACTCCTGTCTCACTCGACATCTCATCTTGTCTCACCCGACCTATACTCCTGTCTCCCTCGACATCTCATCTTGTCTTACCCGACATCTCCTCCTGTCTCACTCGACCTATACTCCTGTCTCACCTGACACATCAACTTGTCTCACAAGACATCTCATCCAGTCTCACTCGACATCTCATCTTGGCTCACTCGACATCTCATCTTGGCTCACCCAACCTATACTCCTGTCTCACTCGACATCTCATCTTGTCTCACCCAAAATCTCCTCATGTCTCACCCAATCTCTCATCTTGTCTCACCCAATTTCTCATCTTGTCTCACCCAATCTTTCATCTTGTCTCACCCAACCTCTCCTCATGTCTCACCCAACCTCTCCTGTCTCACCTGAACTCTCATTCTGTCTCGCCCTACCCTTCAGTGGGATGCAATCTCACCCAACATCTCCAATCTCACCCAACATCCTCTCCTATCTCTCCTGACCTCTCCTGTCTCACCCATCCTTTTCTCCAACCTCACCCGACCTCTTCTCTCCTCCTCCCCCCCCCCCCCCACACTCTCATACACATTCTCTCACTCACTCACTCACTCACTCACTCAGTGGGATGTCAGATGGAGGGTCACTTCAAACTGTTGCTCGAATCACTCACTACCTGTATGTGTTAATGTGATGCTTCTGCATATCACAACTACAAGACAGTATGTATAAAAAAATGTAACATTTCTTCTCTTGGCAATTTATATCATCATCCTTTGCAAGTGCTCATGAGTATGTAAAATACTTACCTTTTCTTCCTGATTGTCGACCTCATCTCACAAAACCCAGATATGGATATGAGAGATATAATCAGTATGCCGTATCAAGGCTTCAGAATGTGTTTGGAATGGTGTTGAGCATGTTTCACAGATTTACGTTTGCAAGGGAGATCCTTTACATTTCAGTTCAATATCATAGCTGTACAAATAACGTCTGTTGATTCTTTCCTTGTAAACCAGGTTAATGTCTGTCTGCACACCCCAGATGTATTTCAGGTCTTATTCTTGAGGTAAACTGAAGATATCTGATATGGTAGAATCTTCAGTATGATGGATTGAAAACATGACAGCATTGGTATTTGATTACCAGAATGTTTTTTAAATTGTAGGAATGAATTCATTCTTTTTAAACATTTTGTCTTTTTGTTGGGTAAAAAATCAGTTTAAAGAAAACTATCTTAAGGGATTTAAGAAAACAATACACTGTAATATAAGATTGTCAAATGTTTTCCATCAGTCGAACCGATGTAAAAATACATCTCTTTTGACTTCATAAAACCAAACACAACTCAATCATAAATATGCTGATTTGAGCAGAGGTACCCAAAGATCACAGTTTATCTTCAAAGATCATGAATATTTTATGCCAGTTTAGAACTAAATCACCTATTACAAACTGTAGCTTGTTTATCACAAATACTTTGTCATGAAGACTACAACTTACAGATAATTGGCTTCAGAGATAAACACAAAATGGTTCGGTAAGGCCAGACCAATTCTTTTTTTTCGTTTATGGATTTTCTGAACAGTATTCCAAGAAATTGAAGCAAAATTTAAAAACTGAATGGCATCAGTGGTGATTTGAGATTAGATAGTTAGTCCTTAAAAAACCAAGAAAACTGAAAAGGAAGGATAATCATAAAAAAAGACTAACAGTCTGTGTAAGGCATAGAAAAAAAGTAGCACTATGTCATAGGTCTATGTTAAAGTATGGGAGTTATAATCGTCTTGGCTCTACAATCGCTTTGTGGAACAGGGCCCTAGGTTTGAATCCCCACATTGGCACAACTGGAACCCGGTTGTTAACAATGCTTCATTGTTTGATATATGATATAATTGTAATAGCACGCTCGCTCACTCACTCACTCACTCACGCACTCACCCACCCACCCACCCACCCACCCACCCACCCACTCACCCACTCTATTTCAGAAAGCACCATATATTTACACTGGAGGTTTCTATTGACTGTCCTTAAAGCTTTTATGATTTCATGAGTGAGCTGTCCCAATGACACTAGTGTCATTTCCCCTGAAGCGCAACGGTCACCTATAGACTAACATAGACCTAATTGTGGCAATTATTCATGGAAAGGCAAGTATAACAAAACATCAACAATAAAACTGTCGTTACTAGAGCAAGGAGGTAAGACGATCTTGCAATAAACGTTTATTCACATTACCAGTAGGCAATACCTCACCTTGTTTTGTAATCAAGATAGTAAATAATGAGCTGACACAGACCCCATTCATGGGCAGTTCATGCTCAGTTTAGTTTGTTTATTGCAGTAATGATCTGCATGTTGAATTGGGATAATGTTATCTTGATCAAGTCGGTACACACACAACGATGGTATATCAGTTATATTGTGTCTGTGGCTGATAACATTCTCTAAGCCTCAGTTGACACAAGTGTTAAAGTTTATGAAATTCTAATATTACAGCTATCTTAATTTTATAACTGGGGATATAGTACTGAAGTATTTATGTAAATTGTATTATTTGTAAAAGTCTGCTGAATTCCTACAAAATCACCCAGGAGCTGAGGTTAATAAATCTGTCATAGGTTTTAGACACTGTGTTTTGGAATATTTTCAGTTGACCTTAATTAGGAGGACATGCCAATTTAACCAATTTGTTAGTAATTTTCATAAAATCTAATACCAGGTAAATTATCCTATTTCATAATTAATAATGTCATGAGATTAAGAAATATTTCCTTCGAAGAATTCTTGCTCACCATCCAACACCAGTTTGAGAGCCATGTAAGCGAAGCCATTTTTCATCCTACAACAGTCAACATTTTCTTATTCTCAATTCAAGATTGACATACAATCCTTCAGGTCTGTTTGTGGATTCGGACACTCTGAACTTGTTCATTTGATATATATAGATGTTGCTCTTAGTCTAAGGTATCATGCACATGTACATACCAAACAGATCTCTCAGTGTCCCAAGGGTCGTCAGGTTAAGATTTGAGAATGTCATGTAATTGAAGAAATACATGTATAATTAACTTATTGTTGAGGACAATGCTGCAAGTAAGTTGTCTACAGACCCTGAATTCCCACATGGGCATGATTGTGTTGTTTTCGTAGATTTAATGCGGAGGTGATTGTTATTAATTAAAAGGTTTTCTTTTTGGGGTTCGTGGTTTGTTAAGGTTGATTGACGGCCTACTGTGGGCCCAGCAGTAAGGCTGTATCTTCTTCCTGTGGAACTGGAGACTTCGCAATGAGTTCATAGTAGATGCCAGATAAATATTTCACAGCAGACCATGTTCAAATATTTGCTTTTGTCAAATGCATATATTTGATTTGGAATGTTTATGTTACAGTTAGCCTGGCTGTCGTTGTATGTCCCTGTAAATTATTCAGAACTTTTCAAAATGCTTTTGAAATTTTATACATGGTGTTTTCTTGGTTACTGTTTTGTTGACAATCCGTATGAAATGTGTTTGTTTGTTGTTAGAACCAAATATAGAGAGTCAGGTTACAGTATGTGGCTTTTGTGATCATACCCTGGTGTCTTGGACATGGATCAGTCCTCGTGGGATCAGCTTTTGATCAGCACATGCTTTGTTGCTGAGAAAAACATTCCCTCACTTACTGACTTGTATATATTTGGTAAAAACCTGTTATTAACCCTTCTTTCCTGGTTCATGGGTTTCCTCCCATATCAATCCAACACACCCTGATACTGAATACCGATAAGGAATTGAACCCTAACTCACTCACTCACTCACTTATTACTAGGGCTGGCAAAAGAGATCGATAATCAGATGGGGAAAAAAATAAACGATTAATGATATAAATGATTAATGATTAATGATAAAAATTGTGTCATCGATAATATCTTACATAAACTATTGTGATGAAATAAAGTTAGATTTACCCAAACAGACTTGTTATTGTCACTTGCTAGAGATGGAAAGTAACTTTTTTGTTATATCTTGAATGTCCACAAGGTAATCCCTGCATAAATGTGCCACCACTCACCAGTGGAGTGTGGGGCGGACGGTAGTCTAGTGGTTAAAGCGTTCGCTCGTCACGCCCAAGACCCGGGTTCGATTCCCGACATGGGTACAATGTGTGAAGCCCATTTCTGGTGTCCCCTGCCGTGATATTGCTGGAATATTGCTAAAAGCGGCGTAAAATCAAACTCACTCACTCACTCACCAGTGGAGTGAAATATGTTGATTTTTTAGGACTTTATTTGCATGTTTACTCAAAGTTACTTCTCTGATATTTATCTATATTTAGTTGCTAATGATCGATCTCTATGATCTGTATCGATGGCC